ATATTTTTAGTATTAAGAAAAATTGCGCTAATTGATAACCAGCGTCGACTCCTATTGCCTGTAATATATTTTTTATGGTTTCATTAATTGTTTTGATTAAAGAAGTCTATAAAAATTTATTAGCTTTTATTAATTTGTAATTTATCATTAATAAAATTAATTTGAGTTTTTGTAACTACTTCAAGATTCTGTACTTGAATTCTTATTGATACGAAGAAAATATATCTTATGGTTTTTAATCTGACATAATTGTATTATTTATTAAATTTTTTGGGAGATCCTGATTTAAATCCATGACTGAAATGATATTTTTCACAGTAAGTTACATATTTACAGGTTTTAAGATAATAGTAGCATTATTATTAAATTAATGTATTTTAGATAACCAAGCTCGTAGAAACAGATTTGAAAAAGAGTATGTCAATTTGTCATAGCAGAAAGGAAATAAATTTCATACAGACTATAATATCTGACGATGTCGGCAAACTGCCATTAAAAATATGATAAAGAGTGTCGATATATTACATCAACAAATTGGCAGCAGAGATTGAGCAAAATTTGCCTTTATAGCTCCTGTTTGTTTCTGTTGCTAATTTATTGTCTGATGTGAACGGGTTCTGTCGACAGAACAGAATAAGGTCACAGTCAGTCTGCTAATATTTCTGACTAAATCTGTTGCTAGCTTGCCGACATTCTGTTTACGTTTTTTTACTGGCAAGGTAAACATTCCAGTGACATGTACCTATGTCCGGACACTTGCATAAAATTTATTATTATTAATCTCAAATGCTTTTTTTATTATATTATAATTGAATTGCATTTAAAAATTATAATTAAATTAAAATATTACGTTTTAAAAAGCGTATTTGAAACTAATATTAACTTAAATAAATAAAGTGTTGTGTAAATGTCCAATCAATGGGACCGGACAGTACCTATGTCTAGACAGTTACATAGAACTTTATTTATTTAAATTAATATTTTAATCTCAAATGTTTTTTACCTTAAAGATTAATTTGAATTAGTTGTCTTTTGTCATTAAACATCTATTTATATGAATATTTCTCGTCGCCGTACTAATTTTTTAATTGTGGTCATATTAAAAACCTCTCTAATATAAATTGTATTATTTAAAACAATCTATGCTTAAACGTCCGGCTTTTACCTTAATAGTGATATTTACCTTAATAGTGATATTATTTCAATTTACATGTGATTGTGCTTTAAGTTTGACAAATCGAATTGAAGCACAATCTACAAAACTAATAATTGTGGTTGTGTTCCAAAATTCACTGCCAGCGCTGAAAATCTATAATTTACTTTTTAAGTATATTATACATTTTTAGCACTGACAATGAATTTTGGAACAAAGCCATCTTTGTATATTCACATATGAATATTATTGAGCACCAAAACTTTGACCGAAAACGGTTTTCTTTTCTATTATACATTTCACTTAATACATATTATTATAAAATTCTTATTTTATCTATAACATTAAAAAAAATATAATTTTGATAACAATGATGTAAGCATTATGTGTAGCTATCATAAGCTATCATAAAATGCTATTTCCTGTTAAAATTTACCACAGCCTTTCCGGTAAAAAATGTTTCCTGTATGAATATATGTAAATGTTACGGGTTACGGGTCGCGTAGTGTGTTGACATTGCTAATGTTGACATTGCCCAAGTTGCCAACTTGTACAATGTCGGTATTTCCTGCACTAAATTCCAAGTATGTCCAGGCGTAAAATGTATTTAATCATATTTGTACAAATGTGGACAAATAGGGTTGTATTTGAAACTAAATTTGAGGGATATTAAAATCAAATATAGTTATATTTGGATTACCAATTTTTGGGCCTTGGTGGGATTTTCACATAAAAATTTATTTTGTGTATGTCTGTAATTTCAAGTAATAAAGAATTTATCTGTAATTTACGATTAAATTATATCTGATTTTTATTTGAAAATACATCTTAGAGAGAGTTCAAGGATTTATATTTTTAATATATTTAATCTATTTAATGTATTGCACAGTAAAAGTTAGAGGAAATACTATCACCGATACTGATATAGATCTCCTAAAGTGACACCCCCTTATTTTTCGGAAACTAACTATTGCACTTTATTAATACTAATAAAACCATGATCTGTTTAGCTAATTAAAGAAGTACAAACTCATAATTCGTAGGTTTGTGACTTGTTTCTATATCAAATCAGCTAAAAACGAATTTTACAAATGCGAAAATAAAATTCTTACTATTTTTTTTGCAAATTGTGAGATTTAAATAATAGTGACTATATTATTAATAATATTACGTCATTTTAAATACTTGTAGTTTCCGAAATAAATTTTATTTTTATTATTTTTTCTCTTAGTCTTTTCATAATACGATTTTTAATTTAAAATTGGGGTGCAGCGTAAACCGACACCTGTCCGTAAAACAGACCATGAGCTAACTTAATCTTTATAATATTGCTTTATAGTGTCAAATAAATCTATTGGAGCTGAAGGCAATTGTGCACATGTGGAACAACTCTAGAAAAACTATCGCGTTACATATTTGCATCTT